CTCTGTCTTCTCCTCTTCACGACGTCGTTCCCGTCAAAAATTCTTCGTACGTTCCTCTTCCTCTTCTAAAACGCCTAAAACCCGAGAGCTCAGAAGGAAACGTTCTTCCCGGATGCGAACGTGTGCACGCGTATAATAATAATTATAATTTTTTTTGTATTTATATTTATATAAATTCATATTTATATTTATGTGTATACATGTATATATGTATATATACGTACATATAGATATATAAATATATATGTGTATATATATATATGTATACAACATCGCATGCGCGCTAACTTCGTGTATCGCGGCATCCTCTTTTGTTTATTTTGTTAATTCTGTGTAATGTTTTTATATATATATATAATATATAATATATATAATATATATAATATATATTACATATAATCGGTAATTATAATATTCGTATGTAAGTTGGTATTTCCCTCCTGTCTTCGTCTGTCTTAAATCCTAAGGATCATACGTTATCGTCTAATATTTATCAATTATTTATATATATATATATATTTATATATTTATATATATATAGTATTTATATACTCTAGACTTATTCGCTTAATCATTTAGCAATTAATCATATTAATTTAATTCATTATTATTATATTATTCATTATTAATGTCGGAGAACGGGCATCAATACGCAGTTTCGGCCACCAATTCGGCTGTACGCAGCTTTCTTCTGCCCATTCCGCGTCTCCCTTTGCATTTCCATCGTTAATCCTCTTGCATGTCGTTTTCTTTTGCATACAATCTGGATACGGATCGGATGTACAATTTCCTGTTTATCTTCTTTCTCTCTTCGTATTTTCAACTTCGTCCTTTTCTCTTCTGTTACTCCGATGTTGTCAAACTCTTGCTCCCCTTCCGTAATCTTGTTCTGTCCGATGTGGATTTTCTGTATATGTGCAGATGGTATTGAAGTTTCCATACTCTCTTCCACGAATGTGAAGCTTCTTCTTATTATTCCTGTCTAAATTGCGACTCTCTCGATTGTTGTTGCTGGTGCTCATCCTCCTCCGTCCAGAGTTCGTTTATCGTGATAAATTCTTCCAAGGCATTTACATCGCTCACTGTACCGTCAGTCGACCATGCTGCGCTCTGCCCTCTCGTCCATCCTAATAAAAAAGAGAAGAAATTATGTGTTTGTTAATGACACCACAAATTTGTGACAGTACGTTACACCGAGTTTCTTAGAATGAAGCCTTGATTGTATAAATCATCGCAAGCGGATCGTGTTGTTGGGAGTGCTTAGCCGAATAAAAAGGAAGGAAGCAAAATTCCTTCGTGATACATATTCTGTACTTTTTACCCTTATGATCTTATTACTAGAATGGGGAATCAAGAAGGTGCAGTAAGTTAATCAGTGAGTTAATCTAAGTAGTGTACTATTTAATCACAGCTGTTTGTGTAGAAGCACGCAGAGATGAGTGTTTTGAAAAACGACATAAGGATTGTGGGTGGCGTTTATCCTTATACTTTTAATGTTATATTAAACAACGTTAGACCTGCTGTATATTATGAAGAGCACAAATCATCTGATATCTTGAATTTATAATAGAGGTAAAAATTCAAAACATTTTTCTTCATATAAATTTAGATTTTTAACGTCAAGATTAGGGGTTAATAGGAAGAAGGGTTGTTCGATCACAGTGTTTCTGTTACATTGCATTTGTTACAGAAGGACGAAGGGTCACCATTAGCATGCTTATAGGATTATGCGCTAAAATTGGAAAACAACGGGAGAAATATTATAAATATTGTATTAACAGGAGAAGTAGTCTTTGATAAGCAATGGTGGTGTAGCAGCTTACATTTAGTGACTATCTACAGACTACATCTGTACATTATACGTTGCGATACGTTAAATTCCATATGGGTCCTACAATCAGCAGTCGATTATTCATCAAACAAACAAGCCTTTCGGAATTAACAATCACGAGACTTGAAATATTTGATGTAACAGCAGATCTGAAATAAAATATGCTGGAACGTTAACTACGTACCTGTTATTAGGTCTTAACAAGGCTCAATGGTAGCCATTAGTGAACGCCGCTGGTATCAGAGGACCCTAAAACAAGCAGACAAATGCGTCATTAAGGTTCTCCCTATAATTGTAGAATGAACAATTCTCTACTGTTATTCAGAGGTTTCCAATAACGTTCGTACTACGTGCAATTGCGATACTTGATCCTGAAAGTTTTGCATCGTTTAATGTTAAAAACTTCGTCGTAAGTAATCAAGAACAAAGAGAGAAAAAAAGGAGATATAAAACAAAGGGAAGAAACATGAAAAAGAAGATCGTAATATTGGCGAACTGTAAAGCTCAGCGTTCAGAGCTGTTTTGCAATCGAAGCTGCGGCAACATAAGTTACAAATTCTAATAAAAAGAACTTGCGTCATACTCTCGGTACCCTTCCAACTTTGTTTCATGATATATACCGATATCCTTATGACGTAGATTTACTTGGACGGGAATATTGTCACACACAAGTTCAATAATTCGATGCTGTTAGTACGGTTAGCTGTTGGACACTCGGATACTTGGAAAAGTAGCCTGATCAATCAGATTTTCTCTCTGTCGACGAGAGCGGAAAGTTTAATTAAAATTATTCGCTCTTGTCTGACGCGGAAATAAAAACAAATCGTTAAATGAATACCAATTCAGAACGGTTTTAAAACGACAAGTGTACAGCATCGTTTTTATTTCTCCTCTTTTTCCATATCCGGAAATAACAGGATACTGTTTTAGGATACAATAATATCGAGCGCAAACATTATTAAGTAAACATTGAATGTATAAAAGGTAACCGGTGTACGATACGTAAATTCGCAGACAATGCAGCTATCGTTAATTCGTTGCAATTATAGAATGTTCCGGTTTTGCAAACAAAGATACGTTTGGTTTTTTATTTTCTGATACAGAAAATCGAAGTAAATGCTAATTGAAGTAGACGATTAAAAATTTATTTATCGTTCTGTTGGATTATTTACTTGGAATATACACTGTTACGAGCATTGTCTTTAACACACGTTGAACAATTCTTTCTGTAATAGAAATAAAATGCAGTAGGTTATCAAGGTCAGCTCCCCCACCATCAATCCTTTTACACGTAATTATAGCTTCAATTTTCGTCAAGTTAACCTGTTTCCGTCAAAACACTACAAAATCCTTCAAAACTAAAACTTATAATAACCGAATCATTTCATATGCATTTCGCAAAAAATGCCAGTTAAAAATCACATTAAAATATACTCTAAAGTTCGTAAAAATACTGAACAAAATTAGGAACAACCAATTGGTGTCGGTAAGAATAATATTCAAGTAGTTAGAAATATTTGGTGCAACTGAAACTCCGAACATACGAGTTTTTACAGCATTAGTCTCAACACTGCCAACCCCTGACATTCTCTTCTAGAAGGTGCGTAAAAGCTCTTCTATACGTTCAAACATGCGGCAATGCATACTATCCCAACACGCGATTGGTTTGAGCCTTTTTACTGTCTCATTAAGTATAACATATATAATAAAACCTCAGAAGTTTCAAACCCATCGACTGCAACAATGCATGCATCACCGCATGTTTTGACGTATGACGTAGGCCTTAACCCATTTTCTCCGACAAACATTTATTTCGCAAGATTTGAGGAATCTACTTTTCCCTTATTCAAAATATTATCAAAGAATAATATATTTAAGTTTACTGAAAACATTGCCAAACATTTATTTAATAAATATATGTACTTAAATGTGTACAACAGGAACATACCCGCGTTAAAGTGCTACTAGTAAAACGTTCGGTTACAAGTATCCTACTCAAACCAGTACACTGGGGCAGAATGGGTTGCGGCCTTAAGTCGAGTGAATGAGTGGGGGAAGTGACCCTGGAGCGAGCGAACATATTTCGTTCGGACTATATTGCGCTCGATACCACCGTCTAGTAGACCTGCCTCGGCGAGAAGGGGGATCGTATAGTGGACTTACGGGACTGTAGTTGAGCGGGGCACGGGACACGGCGATCGCAGGGAACGCGGTCGTAGGGGGCTGCGGACTAGCTGCGGCCTGGACGTAGCTGGCGACTGCGGAGTCCGCGGCTGCGGCTGCTACTGCGGCTGCGGCGCTTGAGCTATACATGTCGATGGGGCCCGGCGAGTTGGCCGCAGGGAAAGATCGGCTCTGTGGCCCACCGTGGCCGCCGGCCGCGTGCGGCGACGCCGGCGGAAATCCGGCCTGCGCTGCGGCCGCCTGGTAGTTGTTCATCACTGTAACGAACGCGCCTTCATTTTTAGCACTCCTCATGAACACGACTCCGCCCGCACCGACCAACCGATTTAGCCGTGCCGACGTTCACGCCTCCTCTATCCCATCTCGGAGCACGCGATGCAGCGTTTTACCGCGGGAGTCAGGGCTAGTAGAAACAGTTGCTCGTAAGATTGCATTTTATCGCGGACCCCTCGGGACTATCGTGACACATTTGTTAACCGAGACATCATTTAAGCTAATCGTGAAACGAATCGGGTTCTCCTCGCGATCCTGAATTCTACTCGAAGGACAATCGACTAGGTTTCGAGCGATCTCAGGAGTCGATTTGTTCAAAGATGATCGGTGGCGGTATTTTTCGGTTGTTTATGCCTAGTGTTTTCATTGAGGAAATACATGCTAGAGATTGTATGCGGGATCATGAGTGTTTGGTATCGTGTAAATGTTTGCGTTCTTCGAATGTCACTCGTCTTGGCGACACGAGAACTCCAGCTCGAAACTAACGATTGTCTTCGACGATCTGTTTCAACTTATCGTACATAGTTTACACACAAGAAGACATCATAACAGCATGCTTAAAAGGCAAACGTGTTGACTGGCTTATGTACAATCATTCGCCGAACAACTATACGTAGAACGGTTTCAGTGTTGTCGATGGTACACTACGCTTTCCGACAATGTCGATCGTCTAATGCGCTTCTACTTGATGGTACATGTTCGTGGCTAACACTACCGCGACACAACTCATCGTGACTAAACTACGTTTCAGTAACCGCTTTACAATGTTGTCTGACAAGACTCACGCACTGACAACGCCGCGACACTAACATTTCTTTTACTGTGTACGCGTGTGTATCCCGCAGTCC